CAGCCATACTATAGCTGTGTCTCAGTTCAGGCTCAAAGTGGCTATTAGCAATTTCTTTTCTTATGACAGGATGTTCTATTTAAGCATTCCACAATAATTTTACATATTACATGCACCTTTTTATAGTTCGAGCTGTATGTGGAAGTACATATGCAATAGTGCTTCTGGCCTGGAGGCAGAAAAATGGGAGATAGAAGGTTAAACAAAAGATGTTCCAGTCTGGTCTTGTCAAGGTTGGGTTACCAACTGGGCAGCTGCCCTCAGGCTTCATACCCCCAAACAAGCTAGGTTTCATCAGTGGGGACCAGCACATGAAAGCTGAACCAGAGTCATGTACAGATTGAGTTTGTTACTTGTTGTATTCTACTGTACGACTCTGTGACTAACAGGGTCTGCTTCTCAATTTGCTCTAAAAACGGATTTTGTTTTTCTCCCACCGAACTCTTGTTGCACGTTTCCTTTAACAATGTCACACTCACAAACCATTACACACACAGACACACACTCTCCACTCCTCTTAATCTATGTCTGCTGTATTGGTCTTTAATGAGGTGTGAACAGAGGACCGCAACCCTCCCTTCCTCCCCCTCTCCCACCCCTGTAAGCGATAGAAAGGGACAGACAGAGCGACGCAGACGTACAGTGCACAGCAGACAGATAGGGCCGGAGAGAAGGCGATGGTGGAGTTAATGGGAGAGAACGAGGTCTTTTTTCTCTTTCATTACTCCATCTCCCCATCCATCATCATGTGATCACAGCACGAGCAGATCACAGAGCCCGTGAGGGACACAGATCTTCTCTCGAGCCGATCCCAACACCAGGCTTTTCAATGTTCACTGTGAATTGTGTGTTTGTGTGTGTTTGCACGAGTGTGTGTGATGTGCTTATGCAGTTTGTGTGTAGGGAAGCAGGTCAAGCTGCTTGTGTTTCTAGTCCCTCGGTGAAAAGCCTGCCCACTCCCACTTATAATAACCCACCACAGAATCTGGATTTTGTAGTTGAAGACCTGCCAGCTTCACTAATGCATCTCACATTTGTGACTCTGTGTGAAGGTCTGCGTTTGCATGCCTTCCAGCATTGTAGGATGCTATACGGACGAACAGCACATCAGCAGCGTGCCCTTGGTTTGGATGAAGGGCAGCATTTCTGTTTGAATTAAACAGCCTTCTCCCACTTTGTTACCTTTGGCTTTAAAATGACATTGCAGTTGCCAAATATCAACCTCATGTTCTCTAAGCCTGTTAAAAAAAATTAAAAATACAGCAGAAACTTTGATTAGCTTCCAGGTTTGGGATTTCACCTTCAGCCGGCTCGCTGCAGCCTGCAAATCAAAATTCATATTTGACTTAGAGAGAGAGTTTCTATATTCCCTATCTGTCCTCACGAGACTTTTTTCAAACTCCAAAAAACATCCCATCTTCTCAGCTTAAACTGCAAAGTGAGGTGTGGCGTTCGACCACGCCACGGGTTCCCCTCACGACAGCCAGAGACCGACCAGTTCAACCATTGTGGGTTCAGCAACATCTCTTTATTTAATCCCAACAGAATATACAGAACATCAAACTTAACAGGTCCAGCACTATCTGCTGGACCTTCAGCTTCACCCAAGTCTCCAGTGCCTTCTCCCAAGTGTTCTCAGAGCATCTTCAGTGTTCTCAGAGCCTTCCTCGAGGCAGCTCTGCTGCCTCCTTTTAAAGTCTGAGGATCAATCAGCTAACAGCTCTCACCTGTGCTGATTGATCCTCAGTGGTGCAGGTGAAGGTGCTCTCTCCGCCCCTTCACCTCCACATGAGGTTACCGCAATGAATAGCGTGTCATGTCCCTTTAATTGAAAAGCAGTAGAGTCACCCTGTTTGCTCAGATGTAATTCAGGAAGTGGGAACAGGCGAAAGACGTACAAGAAAAAGCCTTTAGCTGAATGACAGTAAAACAAGTGATAACTCAGCAGCTGTGTGTGTGTCTTTGTGTGTGTGTGTGTGTGTGTGTGTGTGTGTGTGTGTGTGTGTGTGTGTGTGTGATTCCTCTGGACTTAAATGGAATCTCCCGTTTATGCTGGCCCACACCACTAAATTGGTTATGGAGATCCCACTGGAGCTTTGTTATGAATATTTTGAGACACATACCAGCCAAATATAATATTATACTGGTTTTAAATGGGAAAAATATCCCTATCATCAACCATCTTTGAGTTGTTAATAGAAGAAATATGATGTGACAACAATAACAGTGTACATTGGAATAGGTTTTGGTTATCCTCCAGTGCATAGTGGCCTTTATAATTTGATTTCACTGTAAGTACTGTGGGACAAAATGAAAAATGTGTCCAATGGCTTTTGCTGACATGAGGTTCTGTTTTAAAAAAGGATAAAACAATGTAAATCAATCATTTAAGGCTAAAATGAATTGCATATGACAAATAATTGTCAAAATAAGAATTTTTATACAATCTAGTGACACTAGAAATTACAAAAAAAAACAAAAAAACATGACGGTCCCATCTCTAGTTTTATTTTGTAGGACCATAAGAAGAAAAGCTAGAAAAGCATGAAGTAGACTGTGATTTAATATCCTCAACTCGAGGTTTATTTACAAGCTTTTTGTCTGGACCTTTCAACCATATCCAACAGCCTCCTCCTAAATACACTTTGCTCTTATAATAATTATCTAAGCGCTCTTTCATGCCCAATTTATCTCCTCTTCACTTACATATTAATTTGCAGAGCACAGTGGATTTGTCAAACATAAATCTGCTGTGTGCAGCTCTGCTGTATTAATAGCACATGACTAAATCTTTCAGGTCTTTTGAGAACTGTTGCCGGGAGCAGCAGCGGCTGTAAAACTTTCAGGTTATTTCCAGCCTGTGTTGCATTTTCCATTTTCTTGTTTATAACATCAAGGTAATCGATTGGGTGACTTCAATCATTTCCGGGTGCTTATTAAGGCAGCATCCTCTCTGCCTAGTGTATTTGAGAAGGGGAGGTGAAGGGAGTTTTGTTTCCTTCCAATCAGAACACCAAAAACCTCATTCTTTCCATGTCATAATGAAATTAAATAATCTAAGTATATTTCATTGAGAAAAAGATTACAATTTCTTTACAGGCACAATGAAAGGCATAATTCTCTCCTTTTATATAAAAATGTGTAATTATTGAGCTCACATAGTCATACATTTCCTATTATTAGTCCACTCGCCTGAGCAAACTGCATAATCTTTTGTTTGAGACAATATCTGGTATTCTCTGTCAAACAGTCAGATGTCAAAACGTCATCTGCACGAATGAGGAGACGCAAGAGTTGGGAGATGAAATGCAAAAAATATCTGCACACCGAGGTCCCTGTGTCTAAAAAAACTGTCTCAATATAAATCAAGTTCATCAAGTTGTCGGTGTTTCTTCTCAAAATTCATTGTAGTAAATGATAAATTACAACCTGATGTTGAGCTACAGAATTTCTCCAGTGGTGGTAAATAGATCGTCAACAAAGCACATGACTTTCGCATCCTGTTTCCTCCCAACGCTAGTGTTTGTTTCATTTTTAAATCTTGACTCTGAGGTATCGCAGGTCGTTCCTTCCTTCCTGCTGTTGTCAGACTTTACAACCAGCTCTGCAGCTCCCTGTAGACCACATGCACCAAACTCTGGGACCTGCACTATATATCCACTTCATAAAAATAACACTCCTGTTCACACTCCATAAATATTGAGTTCACATTGTATGTAGTATACTTACTTATATCTTTACTTGCTTAATTATTAATTACTGTATTACTGATGAAACACCTCATATTTCCCCAGTGAAAAACTTTCTTCCTATTAATATTGTTTGCTCTGTGTGTGGATGGGGGTTGGGGGAGTGGTTGATATTGCTTTTATTCTGTAAAGCAGTTGTGATACAAATTGTTTGATAATCGTAGCGTAGTTTAATCGAACATGAACCATAGACAGAAGCAGAGGTACAAAATGACCAGACGAGTGGTTGGCAAATTCAATTCTGCACCAATGTTGGTAATATTGATGAGGAAACACCAGAAATGATGTAAAATGAACCCCAAGCTAGATATATTCATTATATTCCACAGACAATAGCAATAATAAATAATAACAGCAACACATCACATAGGAAATTTAACCATGAGTGGAAAATGTAGTTTGAAGTTGCAGCGTAAAACGTTTCATGTGTTGCACGATCACAGAGGCCAAATGGAGATTTCAGTTTCCACAAATAATAATGAAATGTAGAAATGGAAGACAAAAGAGAAAGTCTGCTCTTGTCGCTTGCAGCTTTTATGGTAATTTTCTCTGCAATGACGGGTTACATCAGCGTAAACTTTAAAAATCTTCCCTCATTCTGTCGCCCCCCCTAATTTCTGCAGGTTCAGCTCGACGACTGCGATCCAGTCAAACCACAAGTCATTTGTACTGAGACGAGCCTCATGCCTGCGAGTATTTCCGAGCGTGCGGAGATAGAAAATCTCACTGATACCACTTCCAAGACTAGAACCAATTAGGGAATCATCATAATGAGAAGCCTCTGAGTATGCGTCTTTTGTTCCTCAGCAGCTGTCTAATTGGTGCTGGATTCTGCAGCTAGTTGGGATGAATGTTGCTCCAAAGTGACCGTGGTGGACTTTTAAAGCAGCAGCTGTCTCGTGGCTGACAATTTGACAACATGCATCACTCGTGCAGAAGGCTCCGTTTAATAGATTACTCCGAGCGTATTTCAAGAAAACAGATATCCTGTAGATTCAGGAACGATTGACTGGTCACGGTTTGTACCGCAGTCCACGTCAGAGCCATGTCATCACTTACTCACTCATTTGTTGCCCATGAGGAAAGAATAGAATGGTATCGAAGCAGCTTCCGCTTTGAAAGTCTGAGTCACTGTAACTCATCCCTGTTTTCTTTTATCAGCCATTCAAATATTTTATTCAAATGGTCTGTCCATAGTGGAGAAAGATGTGGAATTGAATGCGTTTTCTCTCTTTGTGTTTCTCTTCACAGCCCCACTGACAGACAAGCCGCCAAAAATCCTTTCCCCTTCAGAGAGCCAGATGAGCGTCATAGAGATGGCGATCGGTAAGAACCTATCCCTTCTTCTGATTGGTTGTTTCCTGATGTCGTCATACTTGTGGCCTATCTCTCCTCGTCCAAATGACGTCACTTCACATTTCAGGAATGGTTGATCGAAGCCAAGTCGTGTTCTATTCAACTGTAGCTTTGTTCTCTGCGCTTTATGTCAGTTTCTCCATTCCTTCCTTGTGGTCAAATAGGTTTCTAGTACATGTTTTATTCATCACAGCAGAAAAGACTGGGCCTTTCTTTGAAACCTTTCTAAAGCTTCCTCTCTTATATGCAGTATTTTCATCATATTTTAGTCTGCACAACATCTCTTCCGTGTTGAGCTTTTCATCTCAATCATTAAAACCTCAAATATCTGCAGGAAGTGTTGATTCAACTATTGACATATTCTGAATAAGACCTTATTTTGATTATGATGCTTACATGAGTTTTTTAAAAGAATATTCCATCATGATTCATGTCAACACAACATTCTACTACTTGTTTACACTTGAACCCAGAACATGGGATAGGAGATAGGACATTAGGCCATTAAGACAGAGTGCGACAATGTCTTCATAGTATGACTAAGGTCTGAATTATCTACGTCTTGATTTGATTATTGCAGAAACCTAGTGTGATCATTATTCAGGTTAAGTTAATCAGAAAACCTGGCAGTAACTTATTCAGACAATTGTCAGAATAGTGCTGTCTGTAAAAATGTATGTCTGACAGTTTTTCATCTCTGAATGAAAGCACTCTGTGAGTTTATTTATATATACAATGAGAATTAGAGGTTATTGCTGTGAATATGTAAATTACGTGGAATTTACATTGTGAGGCACTATAATTTTAGTTTTTACAATGACTCACAACAAAAGGAAACATTTTATGATGATAAAATCCAATGTTTTATACCCAAGCAGTGCTTTTGCAAAAAACACACACTATCCATTGCTTTTCAACAACTTTGCCTTTTAAAGTTGCATGTTAATAGCAATCTATCATCATCTATCAAAGATTCTTCCTTATTTAATAGGGAATGAAATGGGTTTTTTTTTTTGCAGTCCTTTAAGGTGTCTCATGCTGTCAGAACTAATATTCACCTCGCCTCATTATAGAGACTGCTGCACTGTTTTTTTACCAATTAAAATTGATCTCCAATACTTTCCTGCACGTTACATTTGGGCGTCACTGCAGCACAGATTTGCCTCGAAGTAACCCAGCGGTGCTCAATGCAAGATTTTCAATTAGGCCTCGCCACTTTCTTTCCCCTCTCTGAATGGACCTTGAGTTTTCATGATGATAGAAGGAAAGCAGGGTGAGTCGTTGATCACATTTGTGGATAAAACGAGAGTGATTCAGCGGGTATGAACGCGCTGACTGCTGCTTCGTCTCCTCCCATCGTACGGACTGCCTCCTCATTGTGTTCGTGCTCGTCACATCTATCTTAGTTATCTTGTGCAACGCGAATGCAGCTTGCATTTGCTCGACTGTAATGAGTCAGTAATGAATCAAAGTGGTACTTCTGAGAAACGATACATAATATCTCTTCCTATTATCTTCAAATTTATGATGTTAGCATTACTTCAAATGATTGCCTCCAATTCTCCCTCATGCGGCTGCCTAGGCGAGCGGGAGTCTTTCATATGCCTTACCAGCTTTTGATGCACAGGGGTCTCATGGGAAAATTCCCCGCTTTGTGCCTTATTGGGCGAAAGCTCAGCTGTTGGTGGAAGGGAAAATGGGTCATGATGGAGGCTTGCTTTGAAGTAGATTTGTCATGGGTGGTGAACACAACTGGCTCGCAGAGGTAAAAGGTGGAAATCAGAATAGGTGCAAATCATCGTAGCTCTGATGGGTAAAAGCCTCTCCATCATTTTCCCATCAGATTAGGTGTTTTCATAGAGGATGATGGTGTAGTTCTTACTGTGTTTTTTAAACACTCTCTGGGATTTTCAGTTTTTCATCTTTCTAGACTTTCATCCCTTCAGCTAATTGTGTCAGATTGAATTTTCATTGCAGTTTTGGTGGACCTAATATTCGGTCTCCAATGGCACGTCGAAGCGTAAATGGCTCGCAATTAAGTGGGCAGGTGAGAGAGAGAAAACTAGAGCGGTAAGGAAAGGCATATGTGGAGAGACACTTTTCATGCTTGTGGCACTCAGAGGACGGACAGGAAGAACTGTGGGATCTGTAAATGGTGGCTGTGGGGGGACCGTTTAATCAGCGTACACTTTCGTCTGTGGTTCGCTCCGTGTTTCCTTTTTTTTGTGGTTCTTCACTTATAATTAATTAAGTTTGATTAAAACATGTTGTGGAAATGCTCTTGCCGGCCCTCAGCGGGCTCGTCTTTCCAGTGCTTCCTCCGCGGGACAGATCAGATACAGTTTGGCTCCGAGATGCAGCCTGACACTTCACTGCACACTTCTTTTTTACTCTGTTGTGCACGGATGTAGAATAATTGACTGCGGTCTAGCCAAGCAGACTAACTGCAGTGCACGTCCAATTCTAGTAGGCTGCTAATGCGTGCAATTTGTAAACAGTAAACACTTTGACAACCAGGTGATTAATTTCCTTAATGCATGGACATGTTTGTGTTTTCTCCATCGAATCAATATGCAATAAAACTGCTTGTGTCACTTCAATGTTCTTAAACGCACTCGGTTCTTCAGCCTTCATTCTGCTGCTGCCAGGTCTGATTTACTATCATGCTGTTGTTTGTGCACAGCTGACATGTCACTTGCCTTCCTATCCTGACATTTTATTTTGGGTTGGATTGAATTTACGACCACAGCGGCGCCCCGTCTGTGATGCTCATTCTGAGAATACCCAGCAAGTTCCCCCGTGGTCTTCATTGGCTTTTAGAACTTCAAGCCCTTTCACCAGCCTCCTTCCTCGGCATCTCACGCTTCATCCCCCGATGCCTGATGCCACGACACTGCAACAAGTTTTCCAAATTGCAGCAGTGATGTGTCTCAACCCCTTAGCTAAATTTCTCCCAAAATTCCCATTTGAGCTCACACGACTTTAAGAAGCCATCCACCTTGGCTGCTGTTCTGCATCAGCACTCACACATATTTAATGCGTCCCACGAGTTGGTTGTGTCGGAATAATTGAGTTTGTGAATTGTTTTGTTTCCCTCAATGGCTTTTTGGGAGCTTTTAGGGGCCTCCAATACAAAATGCATTTGTCAACTATGTATTCTGCTGTCCCGGGACAAATTTGTAGTATATTAGTTTGTAGTAGTATGTATTTTTGTGTTATACTTCTATTAGTGAAATAATTGATTGTGTATTAAGATGGACAACATGCAAGCTCCCATAGGTAAAGCTAAAGCATCTAGATTTCCCCCTGGTGCCTGGCTGAAGAGTGTTACAAAAAAAACATCTCATCGATGTTAGTGGATGGGACAAAGACCAAACTAAAAAAGGGGAAACAAACATTTAGGTAATTATTATCATTCCGATCAAATACACGTCAGTTTCCACATACTTTTGTGCATTTAGTATATCCTTGTGGAGTATGGGAACAGAATCTGTAGTGTTTTTTACATCCTCCGTAGAAGAGCGTGCCATTAGGAGGAAATGATGAACTACGACAAGACAGCAGACAAAATGTCAACTTACACCTCTCTGACTCAGTCCAACAGATGGTTTTGAAATGTATAACCTTTACTTGACTTTATCCGTCGATGAATGTTGATCATCCCAGTATCCTGGAACAAATTTCTTGATGTGACTGTATGATCTTCAAGCGCAATGTTTGGGATCCTCTCACATTGATCCAGGCATCCTTTTCAATATCTAATGATTAATATCGATGTCTTTGGACGTCGTGCTGACAAATCCGGTGGGATGAAGGCACTCCATGCCACATATAGGGTGACATGTGTGATAGATCATGTTCAAGGTAAATACCAGGAGTCCGAGAGAGCTTGTAAACATGAAAGGCTCAGGAAGACATAATAATTACATGAACAAATGCGTCATTGATTTTTTTCTTGAATCAAATATTTCAACATGAACAGGTGCAGAGGCCTTGAAAGATAACAGCACTTATATCACACAGAACTTTGTGGTTTTGTGGTTGCAAAGGTACAAAGAACTATTCAGGCTAGTGCAAGGTGTAAAATGATAAGTGCTGCATGTTGCTTTCAGACTTTGTCTTGTTGAATTGGCTCGGATCAAAAATAAACCATGGTTTGGTTTGGTTTCAAGGTGAAATATGTTTTGGGGGAAAGTTTTTTTGCACTTTCAAACTTTCAAATATTGGGAAGTTAAGTTAACAATAGAAGAAGTAAAAGAAGCCTAAGCCTAACTGGTCTCTTCAGAAACAAGTCGACTCACAGGAACGTGCACAACTTGAAAGTAATTTGATTGAATAAAGATACACTTATTTATACATTTTTCATCCATTTTAATATGGATTTTATGAATAAGTTTAACATTTATTTAAGTTATTTTAGGCAGACGTTTTGCAATTTAATTGGCGTGCAGAGCCCCCAGCCCCTGTTACCAGGAGAACCGAGCTCTGTCAAGGCTGTCATCATTATTAAAAAATATATATATATATATATATATGTATTCATCCATTTAGTTGTCTTCTATAAAGTTCCTAGATATTTATTTTTTTTATCTATATATATATCTATATATATATAGATATATATATGTTTATTAAGTTAAAACAGCCGTATGCCTGCACATACACAAACATACACTGGTATATACTTTTTTATATATATTTTTTTTTAAAGGAAACTGCTTAAAGCTGTTGATTGTTATGCCTCCAGTGTATTTATTTGAAATTAATTTTCAGCCTAGACGATGTTAATACGAAATCTCAGTTTTCTTCTTTTAATGGGTCTGGAACTTGTGTAGGTCTAAAACGGTGGGGAACAGGGTCTGTCCTGCTCTGCAAGAGGATGTTTCTCAATTTTGTGAGTGCACACAACTTGGCTTAGATGTCTGCAGACAGTTGACACTTGTATATAAGGCTGCTTATGTTTATTTTCA